CTCCTCTCCTCTCCTCTCGCCTCCTCTCCCCTCATATCAGTTCATCTGGTCCCTCTTCATCTCCACAGGACATAAGAAAAGGTCAAACTGTGTCTCGTTCAGCTCTTCTCGCCCCTCTTTGTAATCAAAGTTTCACATACAAGTCTGTAAGTGCATATTTGTCAAACATCTATTTCAAAAGCTCCAGTTAACCGCTGGAAATTGTTTTGAAATTGTAAATATATGAGAAAAGTAAATTAAACAGGTAACCTTCAAAGTGATGCAGCTTGAAGCTTTTCTAGACTCACATCTACTGTTTTCATTTGTTTCATTCACACCACATTTAAACAACTGATGTACACTTCACAGGCTTGAATTGGCCATTTTATGTATACTTCACTTGTCTGGATTGTTTATTTGATGTCCTCCTCACATGTTTTTCATTCTACACAGCCAACCAACAAAGCAAAAGGAAAGGGTATAGCTGCCACGCATAGATGAGAAAAGGGATTGAGTGCTGGGAGCGATATGAATGAAAACATACAACACAGCATCTTGTATGGCAACGGGGAAACGGACTGGCAAAAACATCACATGCACACACCATACATTAGATCAGCTGTGTGTAATGTGTGCCAGTGTAATATGAGAGGGAAAAGACATGAAAGCAGGCTGAAATCCTGTCAATATAACGTGGTTTCTTGTGGAAAATGCAATGAAAAGACGTTCAAATGTATCAAATAATAAGCGCAACGATGCCAGCATGGGCGTATACAGAGCTGCCATCCCATATGTGGTGGAAAACCTCCTCCCCTGCGATTCACTGGTGGCTCTCTCTCCCTCCCCAATACTCCAGACAATTTGAAGCCATCTTAATCTGAACGGTGGAATCTGGCAACCACACAGGAGCACCTGCATCCGTCCAGCCTGACCCGCTTTTGTTCTGGTCCGACCCCCTAACTTTAGCCCCTAATTAACCCAACAGAAACTAATTAAATACAGCTCTAGTGGACCAGACGCCAGACAAAAAAAAAAGTTAAAAATAAAAAAAAAAAGAAGAAGGAGGAGGACACAGGGAAGTGAGCACAGTGAGGAGAACGAGCCAATGCGACAGGCAGGAGTAGGAGAGAGGGGGGAATAAAGCTGGAGATCCAAAGGTTGGCCTGCCGCCCCTGAGACCGGTTCAGACAGACAGAAAGACGGGGAGAGAGGTTCGAAGGAGGAGGGTATTTGGGTGTCATTGTCAGCTTGGGTTGTCACCATGTTGCCACTCTTTTCTGAGCTCCACGCTGACCTTATACTTCTTTACATGCTGTCGTTTTTCAAGGTATTTTGGATTCTTCCTCATAGATGAGTATGGTTGCCAACTGCTGTAATCACAAGCACACCAGTCACATGACGCAACTGACGCCCTGGAGATATTTGGAAAAGGGTAGAGACAGGATGGGGACAGCCACGGAGAGAGAAGAACAGCGTAGAATGAAAGCAGGAGGGGAGAAAAAAAAGGAGGAGGAGGAGGGAGAAAAGGAAGGTACGGGACGGGATTGTGAGAAAGAAGATATATAAATATGGGCTCAGACCAGCCAAGTGTCTCTGGCAAGACACTGCTGCTCCTAGTCCCAGGCATAGCTCGCTAAGTGATAGAGAAAGTAATTAAGAGAAGCCTGTTCAAGTAGATAGGCCTGTAAAGGAGATTTGAAGAGGGGGAACTGATTGTGCATGTCTGATTCCAGCTCTTCAGAGAGTTCTCAGCCCCAAGGCTTAGCTTTCAAAGGGCCGTCTCTCTCCCTGTGTATCTCGCCGTCTCTTTCTCTGTAACATATATGTACAAACAAAATGTGACTCTCCTTCTTCCCACATATCAAGCACACACATGTTTAAGGTAGTTGAATGTAGGATAGAGGAGAAGGTGTCTCTCATAGCATCTTGTTTACCATCTATCTATCTATCTAT